CTGGGATGAGACAATGCCCGATCCTGAACACTTGTAACACTTGATGTTGCTACCGGCACCCCTTTCGGGTTGCCAAACTCCTGAAACAACCCCTTTTGGTCTAGGGCACCTTGCTGGGTAGGTCATTCCAGCAATGTGAGATATCGAACCAGCACCTGTCATGCTACCTTCTATCAAAATCGCCCACGGGCTATTGGGCAATTTCCCCATCAGTCGCACCCGCACCCCACCTATTTGAGGGTCGTTTCTGCTGAGTTTCATCCCTCTTTGCAAGGTTATTGACCTCGTTCGGGGTTCAACATTGCTGCAAAGCTACCATATCTTGAATTGATTGGCGCAGTTTATTTACATACCTGATAATGGCCTGCTCCTCCCACTCGATCACATCACTACGGGCAGTCATAAGGTAAAACTCATCTATGTATTCATTGTCCTATCTCCTTGACGCAACACATGCATCTTTTGATATAAAGACTGTAAATAATTTTCAGGTAAGCAGTTTTCCTTTAATTTCATTTTCATCTCCTCTCAAGTGTTAATTTTGGGCTTTCCCATTCTCTCTCCTTTTGCTCTCAGCTGTTCTCACCATACCGAAGCACTTTTCTTCAATTTAATGAAAATAATTTTAACCTTTTTGTTCTCTGGCGCATCTTAGAATCTCTAGAAGAACTTAAAACCCCTAAAAAATAACCATAGAAAGTTCCAAAAATGTATCTTTAGAATTTATTAAGAAAAATTCAAAAGTATGACACATCTTGTCTTGCATCACCTCTCACCACCAATCCAAAGAAGCAAGTTTTATTCCAAATAACTTAGTCTAGCCATAGGTCAGCCTTGTACATGTATGTGTAGAGCTTTGGGGTGCCTATCCAATGGCATGGTATGTGCTAACAACCCTAGACATGCCTTAGAATCCAACTTTCATATATTGGGAAACTAGTTAATCGTTACAGTTAAGAAACCAAGCAAAATGGAAATAATTATGCTAGTAAAATCTATGTCGTCACTCTAGAAAATAAAAGAAACCTTATTCCAACTTAATCGGAAATCGAAGAAACAAAATGGAAAGAATTCCTAACATGTCACTGTACTTTTGATCATGATTTGCGGTCCGAAGCATTGACATTTGGGAAAAGTATAAGAGTAATAGTCATGGATCTCTGAGAGATCTTTAGATTAGCTTTGGACCACCCAAAACTGATATCTAGGGAGAAAGTTTGTGTGCGTGGAAGCTGGCTGCATCATAGCTCACCATCAAGAGGCCATATTCTGTTGCTTCTGTTTTCTCGTATTGTCTAGCTTGTTTGAACTATTGCTCTTCACTTTTGATGTACGAGAACTCGAAGAAACATAGAAAAATCAGCAAGAAACACCTTGACACAACCAAATTTGGAGAAACCCTAAAGCTTTCTCTTACCTAGGGCTCAAGCCTTAGGCTTTTTTTATAAGACAAAGTATTTCTTTTCTTAAAGAGGAATACATGAATGACTCTCCAGCCCATCCATACCTTTATTTATATTGAAAAATTATTGTTTTGGACAATATTTGTTCATACAATTAACTTTTGACCAAAAGGTCCTAAGTTAAGTATAACTTGAAACTAAACTCCCTAATTTTAATTGAAATATATAAAAACTCCTTAACTGGTTTAGCAGTGAAATAAATTTTTTTATTTCTAAAAACCCTAAAATTCCTAAAAACTAGAAATCCGAAAACTAAAGTCAAAATATACATCTTTTAAAATTGAATAGAAATTAAAAATAAACATAATTTTTCTCTCCATCATTCTCCCGTTCTTTGAAAAAACTCGTCCTCGAGTATGGAATTGTGCCAAGATGAGTTCAACATCAAAAACACCTTCAACCTTCTTTTTCTTTGTTGACTCAAATGTTATTTGTGGTAAAGTTAATTCCTTAAGAAACGTATCTTGATATGTATATTGAGGAATTAGGACCACAATTTGCAGATTCTGAATCGACCATACTTTCACTGTACTACTCCGATTCCATTACCCTAAATTTTTTGAATGCTCTATACCCTCAATATTAATGAGATATTCAAAGACCATGATTTGGATCAGTCCTCCTATTGCCTTCTCTCTATATTCTTCACCATCTTCCAAAATATCTTCACCATCATCTTGATCCTTATCATAGATAGGATTTCTTACGAAATCTTGTTGTTCATCTGAGTATATATCAAAGACTGGTGGTGTGTCCTAGTCTACAACTTGGTGGTTTTCCATACAATCTGTGTCAAAATAAAAAATCTCATCCTTCAAATCGAAAACCCTAGAATGATGCTCCCACATCTAGGTCTTCTGTCACTATCCTCATCAGTCGACTCTACATGGGGAGCGCAAAAATGAGAAGGCTTGTACTCGAGATCCTATTGGGCTAAAACATCACCGTCTTATCAATTATTAAGGCTTGCGAATTGCTGCGCCAGCTGCTGTACTTGCCTTTCAAGTTCCCCAATTCTGTTATCTGTGCGATCATGGAGTGGATTTATGAAAACCCCTTTCTAAGACCCTTTCTCCTTGCCATATGTTTGCCAAAATCACAAACCCTAGGCAAATAATCAACAAAAATTGCTGAAATTAGCAAGATCTAGGTTGTTTTGACAAAACTTTGGCCAAAATCAGCAAACCCTAGAGCCCATTTTAACTTCCCATCTCTGTTGTTGACCTAGGGTACCAAAAAAAATTGGTGCTATAGTAAATCCGTATGTGCTACAGTAACTTTTGTGTTTCTACAGTAATTTCTGCACTTGCTACAGTAATTTCCTGTATATTGTCGGCTCTGATACCACTTGATGTAGGAGAACTCGAAGAAACACAGAAAAATTAGCAAGAAGCACCTTGACACAAGCAATTTTGGGGAAATCCTAAGGCTTTGTTTCTTGCTTATTTTACTATTCCCTCAAACTTCCGGGCATCAAATTGGTATCAGAGCCCGTGATTTACACGGAAGTTACTGTAGCAAGTACGAAAGTTACTATAGCACGTATGAAGTTATTGTAGCACCATTTTTTTTTTTGTGCCCTAAGTCAACAACAAAGAGGGGAAGTTGTAGTGGGGTTAAGGGTTTGCCGATTTTGGCCAAAGTTTTACCAAAATAACCTAAATCTTGCTGATTTTCAGCAATTTTTGTTGATTATTTGCCTAGGGTTTGTGATTTTGGCGAACCCATGGTGGTGAGAAGGGGTCGTAGAAGGGAGGTTTCCTTGATCCACTACATGATCTCATAGATGATAGAATTGACGAACTTAAAAGGCAAGTACAACAGTTGGCGCAACAGTTTGCGGCCTCAATAATGGGCAAGACGGTGATTTTTTAGCCCAAGAGGATTTCGACTACAAGCCTTTTCACTCTTACAATCCGTGTGGGGAGTAGAGTGATGAGGATAGTGACAAAAGACCTAGGTGTGGAAAACATCGCTCTAGGGTGTCCGATTTGAAGGATGGAAATTTTTATTACGACACAGATTGCATGGAAAGTCAATAAATTGTAGATTGGGATTCACCGCATTCACCACCAATATTTGATATATACTTAGATGAACAACAAGATCTTTTAGGAGATCCGATCTATGATAAGGATCACGATGATGGTGAAGATATTTTGGAAGAGGTTGAAATTGTTGGTTTAATCGCTGATCTCAAAGATGCACTCGTGGTGTGTTCTAAAGCTGAGCCTGGGGAAATTCAGTAGGGTTACATGGCTGAAGTGATGCAAATTTAACAAGTTAAAGTGATTAAGAATATTCTATCGATATATAATAACTCTTTCCTCGAGGGTTTCTCAGTTCCATTGCATAATCATTTTGTGTTGATCAGTGTAGTAATCCACAAGTCCCAGGATCATGTTTGCAATATTCGAGTTGAAGAATGTTGCCGAATAAATGTCAATTTCATCTTAGTACACTTCAAAACTCGAGGACGAGTTTTCTCCAACCAAGGGAGAATGAGGGACAAATTGTTCTTCTCCTTTATTTTTATTCAACTTTAAAGGGTATATATTATGCTTTTAGGGCTTATTTATAGGGTTCTAGTTTTTTAGAGATTCTAGGGTTTTTTTTTTTTGTTTATTTCGTGGGATCTATTCACAAGTACTATTCATTAGTACTATTCACGGCTACTATTTACAGGGGTAAATTTGTCATTATAAAATTTAAGTTTAAGTTAGTATATTAGTCATTTTAATCATTGTATGGACATGTAATGTCCTTGAACATTGAATTATAATATATAAGGTGTGTGAGGCCTTGAGAGGGTCAATTTCACATGATTTTTAGAAATTGAACAAGAGAAATGCATAGGCTTTTGGAATCCTAGCTTGGGTTGTTTCTTCAATTTGTGCTTGTGTTTGGCTTATTCCTTGCTATTTTATTCTTTCCTTCAATTTTCCTTACATCACTTTTGTTCAGAAATTCTTATTGCCATTGGAGCGGCTCAAAATTTATTTATTTTTTTGTGTTTGATTACCTAGTAAATGCTGGTGGTCTTAGCTAATTTTTCCATGAGTTGATGGATGTTACCAGCAATTCTACACTCCTGTGAGAGCATTTGCTCAATTTATTCCTGTTGGTAAAACCCAATCTAGAGTATCTTCCCCCAAAATTTGGGGATGTAAACCTAAACAACCTAGTAATCAACCTCGACCAAAAAAAAGAAGTTTACGTGCGTGGGAGAAATAAATTCTAAGATTGAATAGAGACCGTCCAATTTTTGGATGGTCATATCTAAGAACTCAAATTTTTTTTTTCTTGAAAATAATCATCTGGCAATTCCTAGATGGATCCAAAATTTTGAATCGAAAAAATCTTGCGAAGTAACTCTTTGGCTTGAGGGAGTAAGTATACAATATGCTCCCGTGGAGCATAGTATATGTGCTTATGTCTAAGATTTAGATGAATTTTGGCTTCCCTGGCCTCCATAAAATTTTGTAGAATTTTATTGCTGTTCCACTTAGAATTATGCTTTTGTATTGTTTTTAACAGGGAACGAGATATTGACAAAGATGGGAAGCTTAACTTTCAAGAATTTTTTCATGGGCTATTTGATTTGATAAGGAGTTATGATGAAATTGATTCCAATTACACACATGAGTCTGACCCTTTAAAAGAGACACCTGCAAAGAAGTTATTTGATGAACTTGACAAAGATAAGGATGGGTAATTTGCATATCAGTATTCCTTTCTTTTTGGAAGAATTTGTTTTTTGCGGCTAAGATTATCTGTTGATTGAGCATGCAATGTATTGGTCAGGTTTTTGTCCTATGAGGAATTGCTTCCTGTAATAGCTAAACTCCATCCTGGCGAGCAATACTATGCAAAACAGCAGGCAGACTACATCAAGATGCAGGTACTGTGGACTCGATGATAATCTTTATTTTGATTGGACTCTCTTCTTAAAGGATGTGCACATGTACGTATTACGAGCATTATATATGATTTGATGAGCTATACTGAAGGAAACATATTTATTAATAATTGGTTTTGAATTTTTCGTTACTTACCCATATTGTTCCTACTTATTATTAAAAAGGGCATGTGATAGAAATGTTGTTTCCTAACTTGTTCATAATTTTTTCACTGTTATAAGTTTTTCATCGAATTTCTCTCTCTATAGTTCGCCAAGAAAGAGATGTGAAGAATAGAAAGTATTTTGTTCTACACAATCTAGCCATATTTGATATGCACATTGTTTTACCTTGTGCCAAAAGTGCCTTTGAGGCACCAATGTTTCTTCAGATGCGGAGTCATTGGAGTATGTCCTTCCCCTGGTTGAATTCAATTGTGCTGATGAATGCATAATTTTATTGTGGAGCCTCCTTGTCTCTTCATATTAATAGAGCGACTGACATCTTCCATCCATTTGGTAAGAGATTTGTGTGAGATGCCTTCTTGGCAACAGTCACGATACTATAGTGTGAATACTTCCTGGTGTAAAAAACTGCACTAAAAATATGGACATTGGAATTAGAACCAGAGGATTAGATGTACATCTCAGTTGAATTGCCTGTAGGCAAACTTGTGGATAATACTCCAAAACGTTTCTTAAAATTGAAGGTACATAGATCTTATGTTGTCTTTGTTGACACTTGAAATCTATGGTGGTACTCCTGATCATCATCATCAATCCGAGCCTTATCCCAACTATTTGCGGTTGGCTGATTCATGATAGAGATGTAGTAAACGTTTTATACTGGCTGCCAACCTAATACAACCCTCTATTCTCATTCGGGCTTGGGACTGGCCATGGCAGATTTTGGTGGTTCTCTTGATAAGTTGATGAATTCTTTATTAGACAAATCACTAGTCTGAAGAGATCAATGACGGACCTAATTTTAAATGCATAGGAGCCCAAAACTAGAGCCTCTTCATATTTGCTTAACTATCAATCACCAAGTTTACTTCTCTATAGAATGTGTTTTATATCCACGACCCACAAACTACCATTAATCCCTAATTGATTGATCCTTCCTTCTCATGCCACACCAATGGTATCCAGTGATTCATACCACACCAATGGTATGCAAGAGAAGATCCTAGGTTATATTCCACTAGTTTGCATATCAAGGGGTAATAATGCAATTGATTCATAGCTTTAATGAGCATTTCAGCCATCTGGAGCTATAGGGAATAAAATGTTGCATGATTTGTTTGCCATATCTCTGTCCTGAATGGCTATATTCACTAAAGACTGGATACTTTAGATTTGATGGAATTGAATGGCTCGGATATTATCAGCATGTGTTGGGAAAAGCTGGAAAATTCCGATTCTCTGAGCAAACACATAGATGGATCACTTTAGTGCATGCAGATATTATGGCATGACATTTAGCATCAATTGTAGATTTAAAAAATGTTGGACTAGTTTTTGCACTTCCAAGAAATTGAGGACTGATCTAGGAGCACATAGTCGCTAGTAGTAAATTGTTGGTTGAGACATTCAACTCAATCAGCATTTGCATATGCAGTATGTTGTAATGAATAAGATCAAAGAGTAGTGTAAGGGTATCAAATAATCTGATTCGCAATTGTCAGTGGAGGCAGCTTTCTGTAGGAGCTAATTTACTGGTCATGTGTGGATCATGAGCTATGTCCGGTCTGGTCATAGTGAGATAGGCATGGTTCCCATGAAGCTGCTCATATAAAGTAGGGTCCACAATGAATCTCCATCACCCTTGGAGTATTTGATGTTCAATTTTAGTGGGGAATCCATTCCTTTGATTGTCAAGATGTTGAAGGTCGACACGATCGTGCTGACAGTTAAATTAACTAAACAAATACAAATGTGTAGTTTTTCATACTTCAATTCCTACGACTGGGTCGTCTGACCTAGATCTGACATATTTAGATGTGCCTGTAATATATTTTCCAACTCACAAGTTCTCTTTTCATGATTTCTCTGAGGGCATTCTCCACATAAACGAGTGATTGCAGACTGATTTGATTCGAATTAAAGGAGAGTTACGAGTGCTACTTTGGGGATATTCTGATTGAATGGGAACTTGGCTGAAGTTTCAAATCTTGCTCGTGGAACTTGCCTGACCTCTTTGGATCGATAAATCCTTCCAATGTTTGCAAATCAAATGGGGATTAGAGGAATAGGAAACATACACTTCTCCTTTTGATCACCATGGGATAAGGCTTTCCTCAGTTTCATTTGAAAATGTTAGATGCTAGAGCCAGGATTGACATAAGAGACTCATTTTTGCCTATAGTATGAATGCTTTTTCCATTTTATATATACTTGGGCAACCAAGAATTGCTTATACTTGTCAATAAATCCATCAAGCTCCATTGTATAACTCTCGCAGGGAGGAAGTAGAACTAACTAATTCTATATATGCTTAGATTGAAACTAATGCAAGAAATACACGTGTCAGACATGGTTTGGCTTGTCAGAATATCTGATGCCAACATATACGTTGACAATCATGTCTACACTTTGGACAAGGATGTACACTTGACACTTTAGGCACACCTGTTGACACTATGCAAAGTTGGCTCTAGGGTTTTGTCTTTAAGCAGGTTAGCAAGGATTCATATCTTGGATGTTATCTTGAACCTCTGAACTACCCAACTTTTTAAACCAAGAGCCCCGAAACACATTTGGCCTTGAGAGTTATGGGCTAGTGTACTTGTACAGTCAAACAGTTAATTCGAGTTCTCTTTGACAAATAGATTTGAAAATTCCAGCTGTAAAACTGACTCTTCTTCGCCATACCAATAGAATCACCATCATCATCAACTATTATGTGGTAAAATTTCATCTGAATAGAATTTAAGGTCATATTATATTACCAATTTGACGTATAGAACAATGGTGTGAGGATAAAAGTGGAAGGGGTTGGGGTTGGGGTGGGGAGTTGGTGGTTTGGTGGAGCTGAGTGAGTTGATGTTGATTTCTCAATCTAGACGCATATGTGATAAAGCTATTTGAGGGATTCAAGTGGTAGCTAAATCTAGTCATTTTTGCCATTCTTCCATTGCCTTGAGAACATCAAAGTCTAGCAATCCCAGATAAATGCAAGCTGTTGGCAGTAATGGTGTACTAAGGTTTAGCACTACATGTTCAATGTGCATTTGTGGTTGGGTGGGACTCATAACTTGTTAGTATACTGCAAATTGTTCCACAATAAAATTTATTTTTGCACCTTTAGCCTAATGTTGTAATTACTGTTGAATGTCTTTCCGGACGGAGTATATATTAACAATATGTGGCAGTTTGGAATTGGACTGGTATTTGTATTTTGATCCAACTATTGCACTATATTTGATTGGATTATTGAGAATATTTCCAATATTTGCAGGCGGATTCAAATAAAGATGGACGATTAAGCTTGCAAGAGATGATAGAAAACCCATATGTATTTTATAGTGCTATTTTCAGTGATGAAGATGATTATGAGTATCATGATGAGTTCCGCTAAATTGTTCAAGGTGAGTGTGAAATAAGATATCTTGTTTGGTCTAACTGAATTCCCCTTGTTTCTTACAAAACAAATCCATCTATTGCAGGTCTTAGTTTGTCTCCAATTGGTCTTGTAAAAAAAAGAGAGCAGTCACGTTCGTCCTTTTCCCTACAATTTCTTTTTAACCATGTTGAGCTTTGTGTTATCTGATCACCTTCAAGTGTAAGTTTACACAGATCTTTGATCTCAGCTTTTACGACATAGAGAAAACATGAAAAATCTCTTCCCCTGCGACTCTCTGCCATTTTCTCCATGCTGAGCTAGATTATATGTTACAATTTTGTGGACAGGTCTCAATACTAATTTCTTCACGGCCATCATAACTGCTTCTGTATTTGAATTTCAACGTCCAGGCTTATCTGGCTGGTTAAGTTCTTTGATTTATGATGTTGCAGCAGGAGGGATAGTATACTTTCATTCCATACATTTGTACTATATTAGAGCATCAGGAGTTCTATAATTATAAAATTTTTGTTCAATTTGTTGCTCGGTTTTTCAGTGGAGTTGGTTGATGGCGATGTTATCTACCATGCTACTGTATATCTAGGCCATTTATATGATTGGTCTTTTTGGATCATAATGGAATTTGGTGAAGCTCCTGAGGCATCCTTTGGAGTTTGATGTTAGCTCAAATATAGCTACCCTATTCAAATGGGTACATCTGCTTCTGTTCTTTTGAACGGAAAAACCACCCATGCCCAAAAGAATTATTGCAATAGTCAAATGGAATATTTTGCGTTCGCATTTTTTGAGTATGTTAACATAATTCACGCCATGAAGTTTAGCCCTGCATCACATGCACACCTCATGCATGCATACACATTGCCAGCCTATCTATGTTTAGTGATAGCATCCAAGGGAAATTTATCAAAATACCCATAAGAGATGAACTACTTAACATTCTACTTGTATCTTTTGATTTAATTTCGAAACACTTATCAAAAGTCACATGATCATATGTTGGAATTAGTGTTTTAAAACCTGGATTGGTGGGGCCGATCGTTCATCCCTAGATCCATATCGGATCATTGAATTAGTGATCTGGATCGGAATCCAATTTTTTTTTAAAAATATGTAAAATAAAATAAAAATTAAAATAACGGTTTATAGGGTGGGGATTTAGGGGAACCTAAAAAAACATCAATTTTTTTAAAAAAGAAAGGAATATAAAGGAGGGGGGGGGGGGGGTGGTGGTTTCGGAGGGAATCAGAACCCATACTGTCCCAAAACCGGTTTGGTCCCTATTGATTCCCATTTGGATCATCGATCTGGATTGGAAATCTTCGGGTTTTAAATCTCTAGTTCGAATGGTTGCAATTGGGCCTAATAATTAAATAGTGTAAATTTCCCTTTTTATTATTATTAATCCTGTTAATTTAACTCATTATAGAGTCTCATGTGCTTTCTCAAGATATAAATTTTGACTATCTCAAGATATAATTTTTGACTAAATACTCTCTAATCAATGTTGCCACGTATGGCTACTGTCTGCCTCGTCACACAGATTTCTACTGATACCCAAACCCCTCATGATAGGTCTTCTTCATGTGCTTTTTGTGGCCTGATCAATCCACTATACAAATGGCTGGTACTGCTCGCTTGTGGCCCTCCAAATCTATTCTTTGCCATGTTTGTTGAATGGTATGTTTAGCGAATTTGGACTCCTCATTGAACATTATGAGGCTCTCTTATGTAGTGTATCACAAATTTCTGAAAGGACAACTCCCAAACCAACCTTTGTTAAAAGGCCTCACAAACTTGTATTTACAAAGGAAGCTCCTAAATTTACAACAGGAAGACCTACAGAAACTAGCAAATTTGCAGACTTTCTTTCTCCAAAAGAAAATAAAAAAGAAGAAAACCTGTTTATAAACTCATGTTCCCATAACCTAGGCTGTTATGTTGATCTAGAATCAGCTCTCTATAAGACTTGCATGTCCTTGTAAGATCTTCAGTAATGGCTACTTGATGGCTTCATAAACTCGTACTTGTATTGAAGATGCCACTCACGCCACCTTCGATCCAGCCGCCATGTTAGTGGCTAAAAACTTGAGTATCTTGTGCTGTGTTTTTCTCATTAACAATCTATTTGGCTAGATTGTGTTATCTTGTGTCTGTGCAACTAGGTTCTTCTTGGCTATGGGAGTCTAAACAGTTCTGCTGGACTTGACTGGGTAGGCTTGATTTGGTTCGAAACTAAAGGTAGATAACAAGCCTAGCTTTGGTTGACTCTGCAGAATTCAAGGAAACAATGTTTCTAAAACAATAACTCAAGTCTGAACCAAAAACTTTAACTTAACCCTTAGATTTTATTTAGACCGCCTAATCTTAATTTTAATTCTAGTGCAATTAGACATCAATTAAAATTTGATTCAAACTTGAAATTTTTGCCCTTGATGAATTGAAATAAGACAAACTAGTCCTAAAAATAATCCTAAAAAAGTACATTGATTTCGTGCAGGCATTACTTCCCACTCTTATGACTCCATTTTGAAACGACAACAACAACCCTATAACCTTCAAACTCAGGACGCTGGGTTTGCTAGGCTAAAAAATGCCTATAAAGGCCTGAATATTGGCCCTGAATTTTGTTAGTGTGTTGCTTGACTGCATCAGAATTGGAACTGTACTTGATGCGTTAGGTCAAGGGTTAGGGTCCAGATAGAGAACTAGGTCAAGTTGACCTTGCTCGGCACAGGGTCGACCAACCCATTTAGAACCCCTAGCACTCAACCTTGCAACCCACGTGCTTCTTTTTATGAATCAATAAAATCGATAAAACCTACCCACTAAACTTTCTCAATTGCAATATTGACCAGAAATGTATATTTTGAGAGGATTCATCTCACCTTTCAAAACAAATTAAGAAAAAAAAATATTTTAAGAAGTTGCACTAAGGTATTTGAAATTAGAGGAAAAAAAAGAAAAGGAAAAAGAAAAAGTACCAATGATAGTTAGTATCAGAGCAGAGGCTCACTCCACTCCAAGAAATGGCCCTTACAGTGAGCGATAGAGGGATGGGGTTGGAGAAGCAGCTGAAGTCGAATGACCTTCTAGTGGCTTGAGTCACTTCCCTTGAGGAGAGTGTTTAGGCCCTTGAGGAGAGTGTAGAATTCTCCAATACGATTAATGGGATACTACGACCCATGAGGAGCACACCAATACTTGGAAAACCCATATAGGGGACCTTGAGGCTGATGCTGTTTCCCTCACAAAAAATGTTTAAAGAACATCTTAAGACACTAGCTGAGGACCTTGCCTTCGTCAAGAGGACTTTGACCAATCATGTGCGCATTGTCAAACCAGCCAGGGTTCGAATGCCTAAGCCCAAGGCCTTCGGTGGAGCTCATAGCTCCAAGGAGGTAGAGAACTTCCCTGGGACATGGAGCACTAATTTGAAGCTGCTCGAAGAAGACTAAGTGATGCGGGTCACCATGTACCTCATCAGAGATGCAAAGCTCTGGTGGAGGACACTTGCAGTTGATGGATCGAGGCCTCCTGTGACTAGTTAGGAGGACATCAAGAGGGAGTTGAAGGAGCAGTTTCTGCCTGTACTGCTCGTGAGGCATTTCAAGTACACTGCTATTGTGTATGAATACATGAAGCAATTCTCGAGCCTCATGCTCGACATAAAGAACATGTTGGAGGAGGCCAAGCTGTTCAGCTTTATTGGTGGCCTGCAATCGTGGGCTAATGCAGAGCTAACAAGACAAAGGGTGAAGGACCTCCCTGTAGTGGTGGTTGTGGCAGTGAGTCTTGTTAATTTTAAGCTCGATGCCTCGTCAATGTCGAACTAACAAGACAAAGGGTGCAGGACCTCCCTGCAGTAGTCGTTGAGCACTGTTATTGTTAAGCTTTTGCCACGTCGTCGTGGGGCATTAAATACTATACTCTTTTGGTTCGGGAAATTTGTATAAGATGCTTTTATGGTACCATATTATACTATTATTTTATCACAATTGATAAATATTTGTAGATCTAATATTTAAAAAATTATTTTTAGTCACAAATGCCTAGTTTAAAAATTAAATTTTTATGTTTTGATAATTATATATCTATTTTTCAATCAAAACAGAATATATCTGAAGGAACACAAACAATTTTATGTGAACTTAGCAATAGATACTTGCAATATGATATTTTACCATATATATCATATCAACCATGTATATGAAAAATATAAATGTTTATCCGAATCAACCTCCTAACCCTAAAAACAATTTCTTGATCGATAATTGATTCGCTCGTCCCTTTATCCAACCGTCCATTCTGAATGGACAGCTGAGATGACTCTAATCACAATGTCATGTCTATACACTATTTTATTTTTAATTTTTTTTCTACAAACTATTTTGACACCAAATTTTGGGCATCCACTATTATCTTAAACTCGCACTTGCAAGAAATATTAAAACAATATTTTCAATAAATTAAAATGATTAAAATACCCATTGAAAATTTATAAGGGGTATTTTAATCATTATATTTTATCGAAAAATTCTTTCTAATATATTACTTTAGGTGCACCCCATTGAGAAGATGGCATACACCAAATTTAACATTTATACAATTTGTGGAAAAAAGCAAACAAATAAAACACTTTTAGGCGTCAGATCTAGATCAAATAGTGAGTGGCTCACTTGATCTAAATTGAACAGCTAGATAAGGGGAATTATATATCTTCCATGTTGTAAGGGAAGTATAGAAACTTTTCCGATGATATATTACTCTATAATAGTTTCTCTATAATAGATCATATAAATGAATACAATACCCCTAACTTATTAAGATAGTGGTTGAGCCGTTTCAAGTGAAGGGGGCGAGAGATATCCAACGTTAAATTCCCCAGTTGTATGTTATTTTGTCCTATTTTATATAAAATATGTAAAATGGGTGCCCCTGATGGTAGAAGCAATGATGTACTCCCAAAAGGTCATAGAATCCAATCCTTCTATAACCTTCTTTTGGTGTTAATTAAAAAATAAAATAAAATAAAATAAAAGAAAGAAGGAAGTGCTAAAAGTGTACATGGACTGAGTTCAAATCCTTGACCTCTCAATCATGCGCGTTCACTCTACCACGCTTAAATGATTAAAAATTGGGCGATACTTTTATAAGAAGTGTCGATATGGGACTTGACATCATCCAACATGTACAGTCCTGTATCCGGGCAATATCTAGCTGTGTCGACATGTGTCTAAGTCTATGTTAATTATTAGGGTAATACTGCCTATCAGTCTCATGACCAACCTTTTTGAGCTCGTTGCTAAACTCCTTACAAGGAGGCTAAGGGAAGGATTAGCTCTTGTGATTTATGGTCCTTAGCCTGCCTTCGTCAAGGGGAACCAGATAACTGACGGCATTTTAATGCCTCAAGAATACATTTGCTCAAAAAAACTGAAGACAAGGTAAGAGTTGTATCTAGGATTGAAATAGACAAACGTTACAAGAAAGTAGACTCTTAATGCAAATCATGGCTGCCATGGGATTTGCAGCAAGGTGGAGAATATTGATTGTTGGGTGTTTATTAACTACTCATTTCTCAGGATTAATTAATGGTAGGCCAAAAAGATTT